GAACCACAATACCGATAAGTGATTAATAAAAGTCAAAAGACCAAAGAGGTCACCTTAATACCAAAAAAAAAAAAAATTAACAATGTTAGTTAATAGAGTGATGATGAATTAAGTGACGAATTAGATGAAGAATTGGACCAAAAAAAAAAAAAATTCGTAGTGTGATTGAATTTGTAGAAGAAGTATTAGATGATGAAATGCTCTTAACAACCAAGGAGGCTCGTTATCTAGCAGTTCTTTATTTCTTTTGTTTATGTTTGCAAGGTTAAAAAAAAATAGAAGCGTCAAAAACAGTCACAGACATTGTTAATAGTGGGCCATGGCTTGCATGCTGTATAAGGAAGTAGACGAATACTTGTATGAAAAAGGAGTTAATTTGGCCAGACCTCTGAGAAAGATCCCCTTCAAAAAGCCTGCTCCATGATGAGTTGGTTTCTCTTCAAGTGGCCTTCTATCTTTGCTCTAAAAAATTTAATGTAGGCCCTATTATGGTCAAAAATTATTTTGAACAAAAAATCCTCCCTCTGTTGAACATTGAATTTATGCAAGGTATTTCGGTTAGAACAGCATGTCAGTGGATGCACAAGCTTGGCTTTCGTTATCAATGATATCAGAAAGGTTTATATGCAGACAGGCATGAGTGCCCTGATGTCGTCAAATACCGCCAAACTTTTCTTCTGGAGGTTGCCCAGCTTGAACGATTTATGTTCAAGTAGGTCGATCCAGAATGCAAAATAAGGACCTTTCCCGATCTACATTGTGATGAAAAGAAACATGTATGGGTAACACATGATGAAACCACCTTTTATGTTTATGATAGACCACATTCTGTATGGGGCCCAGAGAGAGAACAGCCATTGAGAAAAAAAGAGCTGGGTGCTGCCATGCATATAAGTGACTTCTTAACAGAAACTATAGGATTGCTTAAAGATGATCAGGAAGAAGCATGAGTAATGATGGTTAGATGTTATTTTTAACTTTAGTAATCAATATTTGATGTTTTAAGTAAATTAATTAATATCTAAAAATTTTTTTCTAATTTTTTAGGTTTTGGGTGCTAACCATGATGGTTATTAGAACTCTGAAAAACTCCTTGAGCAAGTAAAACAGGCTGTTAATATTTTTGAGTGAACATATCTGGGATGTGTAGGTGTATTTGCCTTTAACAATGCCATATCCCATAAAGCATTTTCTGAGAATATGCTTGTGGCTTCAAAAATGAATCTTGGTCCAGGTAGTTTGGCTTCAAAAATGCATGAAACTATGTGAAATAGTAGTCATCAGTCAATGGTCATTGAGAATGATCATTTTATTTATGACAAAAAAAAAAAATTTATGTGAATTTGCATGGGCAGCCTAAAGGAATCCAATGAGTTCTTAATGAAAGAGGATTATGGCAGGATGGTATGATGCTTGAGTGTATTTCATGTAAAAAAAAAGAGGCAGATTCAAATATTATTTATTGCTATACGTGTCAGTTAATGGCTAACCAGCCTGACTTTTTTGAGCAACGTGGTCAAATTCAGCAAGAAATTGAGTCTCATGGGCATAAGGTTATATTCTATCACAAATTTCATCCTGAGCTCAACTATATCAAAATGTATTGGGGAATGGCCAAAAAATATACTCGATCTAATTGTGAATATTCACTTCCAAAAACCAGGGAATCGATCATTCGAGCTTTCGATTCTATTTCTGTAGAGCAAATTCGTTCCTTTGCTAGACTTTCGTATAGGTGGATGGATGCTTACCAACATGGATTGAAAAGAAAAGCGACTGAATATGCTGTTAAGAAAAGTAAAAAACACCGAATGATTAGTGAAGAAATTTTAAATCAGATCAATGAATTTTTAAATTAAAAAAATTTATTTTTCTGTTTTGTAGGCTTTATAATTTTGAAGTTATGTTGATTTTTTTTTTTAATTATTGATATGTATTTGACTTACCCACCCATAAATATATAATTTTTTAAAAATTATTGATTTTTAAAAATTGATTTTTAAAAATTATTGATTTTTAATAAAGAATCATATTGATTTTTAGTAAAGTATCAGTGCGCATAGTGTATTAATGAATGAGTGAAATAACAATTGCTACTAGCAGTAAATTCAAAGTAGCTTTGATTAGTATTGCAATTTTTGTGAAATGTAAGTTTTTACGACTATCTAAAACTACAGAAGATACAATTTATGTATTCAATTGAGTATTACTCAAAGTGGTTAGTTATATTGGTCATATTTTTCGAAGCCAATAAATATAAAAATTTTGTAATAAATTTTATTTAAACGATATTCTTTTGCAGTAGAAAGGTTCAAACTGCCTTAAAAATCGTAAGATTTTGTAATATTCGATAACTTCAGCACAGAAATCGATTTGCATAAAATAATTTTGGGTATTAAAATTACCCTTTTGATAAATCATTATTTTGACAATTAGTCTGTCAAATTTACATTTAAAAAATAATTGACACTTAAATATAGTGCAATGCCCGGGTCTTAGCAAAACCTCTATTTTTTAAATTGGATAGCAGTCGTGGGTACTGTTAAAGAAACAGGATACTATAGTTGGGAATAAAATAATAATATAGTGTATCCCAGGTATTATTTAAAAGCTAAGTGAGATGGGTGATCTGGGTCTTAATGCAATGCTACAATAAAATGGCAATGTACGTATGTACCATAATAACGAATGATGGAGTAAAGAAATTTAGACTTCATAACATTTTAGATTCATTATAAATATATGTGCAGTGATGGCCATATCTAAAGATCTTAGACGAACTAGGTAATATCATCTTGATTATGTTAAACTTTTTTTTTGTTCTGACTGATTATGCATAATAATTAACCAATCAAAACTCATGTTGCATAAATCAAATTTTAGCGCTTTATAAAAATTAACCAATCATAATTAATTATATAATTTTAAAATTTGGCACTTTTAAAAAAAAATTGGATGTTTTTTGCTGTCTGGTACTGTAAGATCTATTTTTAAGTTGAATTTTGCATTTTATAGAAATAGTATAAGTAGATAATTGAACTAAGTTAGCATTTTTAGCTTTTTCATACAGATATACAAACATAGCTATATAAATAAAAGAGTTGTTGAGAAACTGTTCTTATTTCTTTGGTATTGTAACAGAAAAAACAGAAGAAGAATCTTCATAGCCAAAGTAGTTAATATCTCTATAATAAAGTAAGAGTAAGTAAAAACTAGTTTATATTCTATTACTATTATAAGAATCTGAGTATCTGCTTCTTTCTTTAAAGTTTTCTCTTTCTTTAGAAGAGTTTCAACAATAGGATCTGTTATAACTTCAAGATCAAGATCTTTGGTTGCATCTTTCATTTCTTCTATAATTATCTCTTTGGTTGGATCTTTGTTCAACTTGTTTGGTTTTATATTTAGCAATAAAATGTTCTGTATATTCATATTAGTAACAATGATATAAATCTTTGGCTTAAGATCTGTTAGTATTAGAGTAGCTACATAGTTAGCAGATTGAGGTTGGGGTAGTTGCTATTGCTATACTAGGTTAATACTAAGTTTAGCAATCTGATCTGTTAGTTGTTTAATAGCTTGGTCTGTTTCTGTAGTAGTTTTAGTAACCATTATATATTCAGTTTTTTATTACTTTATAGTGATAATAGCAGCATTTAGGTTAGCAAGTTCACTAGCTTGCATGATGATAGAAAATTTAAAGCATAGTTCTTGGATAAATAATTGTTTAGTAAAGTTAGCAGAAAAGGCATTACTAGAGTCAACTCATTTTTTCAATTGTTTAAAATAATTAATATAAGCATCTACTATGTCTGGGCCTTGTTTGATATCAAAAAGCTGTTTTTGCCAAATAGCTTTTTGTTTTAAGATGTAGAAGTGAGCTCTAAAAAGATGTTTAAAGCTTCTGTTTTGGTTGACATTATCATTAAAAGTATTTGAAGCAGAATGAAGACTTTGTTATCAATCTAATATAATTTCTTTTAAGTATACAGAAGTAAGTTTTAATTTTTAAGTAGCATTTTATTTATTAGCAATAGCAGCTTTTTAAAAATCTTTAAGCTATTGTTCTAGGTCTTAAGTTTTATTATTATAAAAGAAGTTAGCTTTCAGAAGGGCTCTTTTACTTTCATTCAAAGCAGTAGTAAGATCAGTTATAGCTTGTGCAGCATCTTGTAAAGCTTGTTCTGCCATATTAATAGATAGATTAAAAAGATTATTAAGAATAGATAGGAGTAAAAGAATAAGTTAAGATTGAGAAAGGATAGGTTAAGGCTAAGCAACAATAGGTTGAGATTAAATAACAATAAGCTAAGATTGAGGAAGAATAAGTTGAGATAGAGATAAAAGAGAAGAACTATCTTCAAGAGTTTGTTGTTGTGATAAGTTAGTAGAAGTATAGTATAAGCTAAAGGTTTTTATAAGGTTTACAGAAGCAGTAATATATTCTTCTGTTTCTAAATTGTTAGTAAGTAATAAAGAGATTTGTAAATTTAATTAGAAATATAATAACTTTCAAAAAGTTTAATAAATGTAATTAATTCACTATATGGAGCTAAGCTATTTGCTAGATTATATAAGAAGAAAATATTATCAGTAAAAGTAATATTAATAGTAGATAGTAGAATAGGACTTTCTAGATTTCCAAAATGTCAACTAAATTCTTTTGATTTTTTAAAACTAAAACTTAGAGAAGTGTTAAGATAAAGATCAAAGGCATTTTGGTATTCAAATAGTAAAGTTGGAAGTTGGAAAAAATTGATATATCTTCTAACTAGAGTTAAAGCTATAGTTCTAAAATCACCAATATCTTGTTGATATTGATAACTAAAAATAATATCTCTAATGCAAAGGTGAAGTGTAATTTAGTTTAAATATAAAGTAGTAAGGATGATAAAGTTGTTCTAAGTTTGAAAAAAATAATGTTGAGCTGCAAAGTTAGTTTTGTACCAAGTCCAAAATCATTTAAAATCTAAGTGAGGCTAGTTGTCAAAAAAAGTAATACTGAAAACAAGATAAGTCTAGATACTGTGCTTGAAGTATGTCTATTGCAAAATAAGATCCAGTTAGATATACTTATTAATGGCTTTAAATGTTTTCATTATAAAGTTCAATAGTGATATGAACTATAAAAGAAGAGGTGTTTATACATCTAAGACTTTGCTAAGATAACTAATACTCATCTAGGTCTCTTGTCAGAATAACTAATACTCATTTAGGTCTTTTGTCAGAATAACTAATACTTGTTCAGGTCTCTTATTAGGATAACTAATACTCATTCAGGTTTCTTGCTAAGATAACTTTTCCAATTTGTCTGAAAATGTCTTGTCTAAGATATCTTGTTTTCTCTAAAATTTTAATCTTTCTGCCAAAAGGTACCAAATGTTATAAGTAAAAGTCTTCTTAATTTTTATACTATAATAATAACACAGTACAAAGAATCTCTTACAGATATATGCAGTGTCTAAGAGAAAAGTATAGCTTCTGTCAGATGTTGTCAAAAAACTATATCTTTTTTTGAAACAGTTCAGAAAAGATAATGCAATATTAATCACTTTTACTTTATTTCATTAAGAAAAGATAAACCTTGTTTGTAAGAATTGCTCTAGAGATGAAGTGTCAATACAGTTTATAGTCAAAAGCTATTTATTAAAATAATAACAAAAAGGGTTATCTTTAGGTTTCTGTTTCTAAAGAATTCCAAGATGTGTTTACAATATTAAAGAGAAAAAAGATATCTGTTACTTAATGCATTTAGGAAATTTAGTAGGATTTATATATTTGTAAGCTAAGCAACTAAGTGGCCAAGTGACTAAATAACTAAGTGACTAAGTATTAAGTAACTAAGTAACTAAGCAACTAAGTAACTAAGTAATTACTAAGTAATCAGAAGATTCTAGCAACCAATGACTAATAATTACTAAGTAACTAATTTAAGTAACTAAGTAACTAAATAGCTAAGTGACTAAGCAACTAAGTGATTAGGCAATTAAGTAACTAAGCAATTACTAAGTAACCAGAAAGTTCTAGCAACTACTAATAATAATATAATAATAAAATAACTAATACTAAATAATAATAATAAATAGTAATAACAATAATAAAATAATAATAATTTATTTTATAACAATATATATAATATTAATGATTTTTCTGTTTTATTTAAGTGTTGTAATGAAAAAAATCTGCTATTAGACTTTTAATTATATATATATTTTATACTAAACTAAATCTATTTAATTTATTAATAATTGTATTTAATACAAAATATAATTAAATCTAATAACAGATTTTTCTTTAATAATATTTATTTATTTTATATAATTTGTATATAAAAAACTTAGTTTTGTTTAAATAAAATAGTTGTTAAGAGGATGGTAATTCTAGTGTAGTGGTTACGAAACACCTTTATAAAAACCAAAGGTTAAAACTGAATGTCAAATATATGTAAAGAAGCATATAACCAACCAGACTGCCAGATTTGCTGAAGAAAAAGAATACAGAAATATACTATACCAGGTTATCTGAATTAGTAGTCTAGAATAAGACTGATGGTTCTAAGTTGTGGCTAGTAGGGAATGATGAAGAAGATGCCAGAAAGATAGGTACTAGAGTTCTTGTAAATTTTACAAAGATAAAAATAGTATAATGTAGCAGTTAAACAAATAACCTCTGTGATTGCAAGTGTTAGATAACTATAGCATATTGTATAAAACTAGGTTTATATGTATAGAACATAAAGGCTCTAGTAAGTTTTTTGTTAAAAATAAATTAGTCCTAAGAGTAATAACAATATTAGGAACTTGGATGGATGTAGCTTTGAGATATTCTCATAATACAAGAAGGATTGCATATGCAAAGAGTTTAAATAGGCAAGACCTTTAGTTAGTTTGCAAGTATAAAAACTAGTGTAAAACTTATATAGCAATATGTAAGCAGACTGCTTAAATTAGGCACCAAAAGTGCACATATGGCTAGTTGTAACCTTCAATATAAGATAAGCCTCTGGTAATATGCCATGTTCTAATATACTTAAATAAAAATGTTGTATCCTCAAAATAGAGATTTTAATTATAAAAAAAAAAAAAAAAATAGTTGTATAATATAACTAGCTAAAACCAAAAATGAAAACAAATATAATAGTTAACAAAATAGTTTCAAGTAATATACAAATGAGAACTAATATAAAATGCAAACAATAAAAACAGCCTATTTTTACATTTTTTTAAAAAATAAGTTTTTATTATATTCATATAAATTGACATGGATAATATTTTTTTTTTTTTTTTTTTTTTAAGATGACCTCTTTGGTCTTTTGACTTTTATTAATCACTTATCAGTATTATAGTTCAATGAACTACTACAGAAGAAAATACAATTGGCTACATATGTAACTTTTCTATATTACCTATTTAAGGAGTTTGCCTGAAGATTCCCTACCAATTGCCATATCTAATACTTCTGCTTGAATGTTCTACATTAAACTTTTTGAATCTGTAACTTATATTAATTCACTAGGTTATACCCAGATGTCTAGATTATTGTCTCAATCTTAGAACTAATTTATTCTTAAGGTAAACCCTCCAGAGCCTTCTGTACCTATTTTTACAGTTGATCTAGGTATCACTATGGCAGAACTAATACTTGCAGTTAGGGCTAACTATTAAACTGCTATGCCCTTGTAGAGTTTACTTAGACTCTAGCATCTATTTCACAACATAACTCCAGTACTTTAATATATTTCTGCCTTTTTATCTGCCTTTTTACCAAACTTCCAATTCAGATAGCCTGTATAGGACTACGACTAGTTCATTGGTATATCAGATTGACCCAATATCCTTTTTCTCTAGTTTGTTCTGATGACCTGGTTGGTGATACTCTTAAGACTTCCAACTTGAAGGTCCTTGCCCATTCAGCTACTATGACCAAGTATTACAACCTTGGTATTCATTTTTTTGGGCTAGCCTTTACAGTAGAGCCATCAAAGATTCAGCTACCTCTCTATTTAGGTTTTTCTAAATAGACTTTTTGTTAACCAATTTTAATAGATTTACATAGTCACAAGGACTTATCTAGTGTTTGTATTACCTGTTTTGTTGGTTTGCATTTCTTTGTATAATGCCATATTTATACAGATGCTTCATAATCTACCAGTCATGCTGGTGTGACCATCATTACAAATATCCTAATTCAATCATTAGTAACAGTTACTATAATATGAATATTACATAGATGATTATCTAAATTTTTGCTATCGATGAGATTTGAACATCTAATCTACTACTTAAGAGTTGACAACCTGACCACTTCATTAGGTCATCACACCCCTATATGGTTGATATTTGTTAATTATAAATAAAAACCAATTTGTATAATAAAATATTGAGATAATGTAGAAGACAAATTACACAAAGCTGCATAAGACCAACATATTACGAGATTATCTAATAGTTAGTTACCTGTTGTCTTTAACCAATCAAAATTATAAATTTTGATTAATTCCAAATCAGTTCAAAATCAAAACAAATCATTAAACTCAATTATCTCAAAATAAGATAAATATAAAAATAGGCTGTTTTTATTGTCTGCATTTCATATAGTTTTTCATTAATATTTTATAAAAAATTGATATACACTATAGATAATTGACTTGCTTTTACTAATTAAACAAAAGTTTATAAAACATTATATAATAATTATTAGATTATTTAATTATTTAAAAAATTAAAAATTTTCTTAACTTTGATTATCATTTCAGTAACTTAATAAAAAATTTCACAAAAATAAATAAATACTAAATATAGTGCCTAAAGCTTATATCTAACAATTATATAAAATGTTTCTATTTTAATATTCTTGCATATATTGTACCAAAAAGACAACATTTTTTAAAATGCTAAAACTTTTTAAAGACATCTTTTTTTAAAAAAAATTGACTAATAACTTTATACACAGGAATAAGCTCTACAAAGTTATTAGTTAATTTTTTTAAAAAAGTTTTTTTATAAAATCATACTGATTTGAAGATTTGGAATTTTTTTAAACAGTTATAACTTTCTACAAAAGTATTTTTTTAAAAAAATTAACTAATAACTTTGTAGAACTCATTCCTGTATATAAAGTTATCAATCAATTTTTTTTAAAAAATTTGCTTTTAAAAAGTTTTAGCATTTTAAAAGATGTTGCCTTTTTGATGCAATATATGCAAGAATGTTGAAATATATTAATTTTATTAGTCAATTACAGTCACGTGAAAATTGAAACATTTCATGTGATTGTCAGGTATAAGCTTTCGGCATCATATTAGGTAAATATGCAAAGTAATTTGCATACAGATTACCAATTTTTGTGTCTAAAATTCTTGCTTTTACTATTATTAGTTATCACAACTATGACGTCACTTGGGTTTAATAATTCTAGTTAAATCTGATTAATCAGATTTAACCAGATTATTATAACCGGATAACCGAATTTAATCAGATATATTATAACTGATTTATATTCGGTTGTGATTTTTAAAAAGTTAATAAAACCGGTTAATAAAAATAAAACCAGTTTCAACCTCTACTTGACTTTTATGGTTCACATATCATATCTAACTATGACCTAAACTAAGTGGAAATAACACAATTACTAAATTAAGTAATTTGTACAAAATTTAATACACCTTACAGATATCCATTAAATTAGTTAAATTTAAAGTTTTTTTCTTTTTGAGCACCTAACCTTATACATGCTAACAAAACTAAAAATCTCAAAATTTCATCCAAATCCCAAATCTAATAAAATTATTCCAAATTCCAAAATCTCATCCCAAATATAATAAAATTCATTTCAAATCCCAATCCCAATAGTTTTGCCAGCAAATATACCTAGTCTATATATATATGGTGCAGGAAGTCTATACTCAACGGTTACACAAAGTGTTTCAATTTTTTTAAAACCTCTTAGATAAAAAGATAAAAAGTTACAGCTATTTAAAAAAATTGTAACACTTTGTGTAACCGTTGAGTATAGACTTCCTGCACCATATCAATAAGCATCTAACTGATTTTAATACCCAAGAATATTTTGAAATTCTAGAAACTTATACAGTCAGACCTTGATATAATCACCAGCCGGGAAACAAAATTTTGGTGATTATGAAAAGTTGTAACTATATGAAGGTCAAATTTATATGTTTTATATAAGCTAGAAATAGTACGACTATATCAAGAGTGACTATAGCGAGGTCTGACTGTATAACTATTAGATAACTTTAAACTGAAATTATCGGGGCTCTCGTTAGTAATATTCTTATTCAAAGTTAAAATCACTATTAAAAAAAATGCATCATCAAAATTTGACAAATTTGATGCAGTTAGAGATTGGGTGATTCAATTTCGTTAAAATTCTAGCATTTAAATATTGAGTTTATATGCGAACTCAAAGTTTTGCATTCAGGTGATGAGAGTCACTGTAAATATCAAAAATATACACCATTTTATGATACATGTTATTTTAAATTTATGATTTAAAAAAGGTTTTCAGGGGTGACATTTTTATTTAACATCAATTAATTAGCCAGATTCGCAAGAAATGTATGCATTTTTAGGGAGTTTGCATTTAGAATGGGTTGCACTTATTGAATTAACGAAAGTTGGTCTAACTAATCGATTAGAAAATTTTTGCCGATTTTGGGTCACAAGCTTTATAAACAAAATTTGTTTTTTCTGGTACGTATATATCGTATATTGATATGGCTGCCATCAATAGAAATCAAGCAGATTAACATTTTAAAAAAATTAATGCCTTAACTTTCACTGTTAATACCTTGATAATCGAAGATCTTACGAATAGCTTAAGATCTAAGCTTTCTTTTGACTATTCAATCATAAGAATAGCTTCGAAATTCGAGCAGTGAAATTTAAGGTATTGATTTTTTTTAAAATGTCATTCTGCTTGATTTCTATGTACATACAACGGGTGGCTACGTACAACGAAAACGGCTACGTATGCTTAAATAATTGTAAAATTTTAATGCTTAACCAATGATAAATCATAACCATTTTTGACGTTAAACTTTGAGCTTGTTTTGGAAACAAATAAAATACAAAATATAAACATGTAAAACTTTGCGTTAGCTCTTCAATTTTTATTTTTTATTCCTGACGGTTAAAATGTCGGGACTCACTCCATATATTATTTTTGTTTCTTTTGCCGTTGTTCTAGGTTCTTTTCAGTATGGATATCATGTAATATTATTTACATTATTTTAATTGCAGTATGTAAAAAAAAAAAAGAAAACTATTCTTTAAGCAGAATTTTTATTATTTATTTTTTATAGATTGGTGAACTGAACACTCCTCAAGCTGTAATGTCATGTGAGGGAGTTAAAGAGCCTTCTCAAGGAACCCAAGAATATCTTCCACCTTGTATAAAGATGAATGCAGCACAATTTGCTTTTGTAACCTCTGTATTTACCTTGGGAGGTCTTCTTGGGTCATTGTTTGCTTCACGCGTCGCGGATAGTAAAGGGAGACGAGATACATTGATTTTAAACGGCGTGTTTTTGGGTCTCGGACCACTTGTTATGGGGTTTGCTCCAAATATAACAGCTTTGGTCATTGGAAGAGTTCTTGCCGGTATTGGATGCGGCGTGGTAATTTATGTTATAAAATATTTACTGATTGATTTATTGATAACAACTATTGGTTTACCTAATCAAACGAATTAAATACTATTTTTTGTTCTAATACATTGGGACAAAGGTAACAGTAGTTGTTCCCACATATCTTGCTGAAATATCTACCATAGAGTTTCGTGGGACCTTTGGTATGTTAATCATTATGATAATTAAAAAGATTTTTAACAATCATTTAATAATGATAACAATAATATTTCTAGGCGTAATGAATCAATTGGGTATTGTTTGTGGTATATTATTTTCCCAGGTCGAAGGACTTTATCTTTCCACACTTTCGGGTTGGCGTCTAATTCTTTTTGGTGGGTTTATTTTGGCGCTCCTTCAAACAATTTTACTTTGGTTTTCTGTCGAATCACCTCGTTTCCTTGCATCTAAACCCGGTGGGTACAATGCTGCTAAGAGAGCTCTACAAAAATTAAGGGGGAGCAATGAAGTAGATGAAGAACTTAGCGGATGGCGACAAGTGGCATCGGAGGAAGGATTAGAAGGCCTCATCTCTGAAGAAGAACGTGAACACCAGAATAATGAAGAAATGGTTAGAGAATCACCTGCGGTCGTCTTTCATGCGCGTAATTCAGATGAAAACTTTAATGTTTGGAAGCTTATAAATAATTCACAATATTTGCCAGCATTAAAAGTTTTAATACTATTACACCTAACGCAGCAATTTTCGGGAGTAAACGGGGTGATGTTTTATTCAACATCTATTTTAGCAAAGATACTTCCAGGCATGAGCGATTTAGTAACGGTTTTTATAAGTACAGTGAATGTAATAATGACCGTTGTTTCGGCATATTTAATTGACAAATCAGGGCGCAGGACATTATTACTATCATCATCATTATTTATGAGTATTTCTAGCGCCATTTTAGCATTGAGCATTAATAATAATTATGGGTTTCTTTCAGCTATTTCAATTATCGGATTTATTGCGTCGTTTGCCATAGGTCTTGGACCAGTTCCATTTTTGATAATTCCGGAAATTTTTGATACTCAGGCGGTTGCCACGGCGGCTAGTCTTGGATTAACATTGAATTGGTCAGCTAGTTTCTTTGTCGGGTTTATATTTCCAATAGTTAACGAAATGATAGGGGGAAGCATATTTTTAATCTTCGCAGCTTATTTATTTGTGGCTTACCTCGCTATTAAACATTTTGTGCCGGAAACTAAGGCCAAAAGTGTTGAAGAAGTTTGGCGTGGTTGGACAGGAAAAGTTGTAGAACTAAGTGTAAACGTAAGATGAAATATTAACGAATTGCGCATATTAGATTTCTTTTTTTTATTTGATTATTATTGCAAGATCGACATTTCTTTACCATATTATGCACATTATAATATTACATAAATAAAGTAAAATGGTTGGGATTCGTGAAAAACTTGGCACAGCATTGGATAGGGGAAATCGATTTTTCATAATTTTTTTGTTGAAAGAACCCGGAAAATTTTGACAAAAATATCGATTTTTTGAAATATTGTTTGGCTAAATTTATATTACTTGGCCAGAATTATGCTTTACACTATTTTTAATTTTGGCCAAAATATTATTGCTACATTATCGATAACATGATCCTGGTATTCTTGTTCACGTGATGTTGAAAACCCTGGGTTAGGAAATTTTTTACATTACACTAATTGATGTTGTAAATCACATGAATGGAATAGTCAGGAACATACAAAGTTCGAATCGAAAGTTGTGGTAATATTATATTTTGAACGCCTGATTTTTAATTTACCTACCAATTAATACTTTTAATGTTAATACTTGCTCAAATTAACATTTCAATTTAACATTTACAGCTAACATTAATAAGCAAAAAAATGTATAACATATTTCTCATTATCGTTATTGTTATGAGTTACATGAATGTATAATTGAATAAAATTTGTTATTTGATAATTTCTAATTCATAAATATAATTTGTTTATTGAACTTATGAAGAATTTTCTTCAGCTATCATAATACTTGGAATCTTTTTAAATACTTCCTTAGGAGCCTAAGTTATAAGAAAAGACGAAATATATGTGTTAATAAGCACAAAAATATCCAATAAATTACTGGACTAGAAAATAAATACACATACCGTTACTTTTATTCTATGTTCTGTAACAGCGCTGGGAGCTTCAAATGCTGGTTGAGAAGGATCACCATGCTGATGATACCGATATTTGTAATCATTCTTTTCATTGCCTTCACCATCATGTTGATGTTGCCAAGGATATGCGTGGGTAGCTTTCAAAACGTTATTTTCATTATTAACGGAGGTGGCTTTACGACCAGCCATATAACCAGCAATACCAGTAATTGTAGCAAGCACTCCGATTAAGGGATAAATTTCTGGATCAACCGAAAGAAATCGTAAAAGTGATCGATTTCGAGCAAATCCACCACCAACAGGACCTGATGCCATTTTTTATGGTAAAAAAAATCAATGGATTTAATTTTTAAATTTTGAAGAAAAAAGTATTGGAGGAACATACTTATATATTTATTTTCTACGTAGGAGTTTTAAAATAAATGACGTTATCTTGACGTTGTAAAGAACTTATAGAACAGTATAACAGTATAAAAAATAGTACTGGGCATGTGAAAAAATTCATTAAGTTATTGTATTATCATTATATCACATTAATCTAATTTGCCATAGCTGACCAATCCTATTTCAAGATCAGGTGCAATGCAAAAGAAACGCGCATTAACGACCTAATAATTTGGTAATTGCGAAACCATAATCCTGATGTAACAACTAACGAAATTTTTTGAGCAAGTTAGTGATGGAGAAAAATTTCGCAGTCTCGTGATTACAGACCCTGCTTGAAAAAGTCAAAACTAGATTACTGATAATAATTAAAATGCTTTACGTTATCATGTATTTAAGGGTAGGGTGATGTAGATCATTTTTCATACGTGCGGAACATCTAAAACCATATCGATATATATATATATATATATTTGTCAAATTTTTAAATTGATATCGATATTACTTTTTTACAAAAAAATTTTTTAGTTTTGAATAAAACTAATTTTATGTTATTTAGCTGACAAAATTTGGCGTCTATATATGTTTTTTAGGTGTTTTACACTGTATGACCTGTGTAATACGTACAATGAATTTTTATATAGTAAATAATAAAAATATGCTACTTATAAGTTTTTTTTAAAAAAATTTAATTAATTGTTAGCATATATAATTTAAAGTAGTTTATTTATAATAGTAAAATTACAAGATATAATTTATTTTAAAAAAACAATTTGTTTATAATCAAAGTTTTTTAATTATATATATAAAATATCTAATTCTAATTGATCAAATTCCATAATAATTATTTTATAAAAGTTTTTTTAAATACATATATCTTATTAAATATTTAATTAATTTTTAATAATTTATTATTGTTATAGAGTTGCAACCTTTTTAGTACAATACAACTAAGTAACAAGATTACCTAGTATAGTGATTAACTATTACAAATATATACAGAATGGAAGTATAATAGTTCACTTTACTACATAGCAGCAGGCAAACAGTTTAAAATAATAACAGTATATAGATTAAACTTTATTAAACAAATATACAATAACAATCTTGTTTGTAGAAATTATCTTAGAAGAGGAATATTACTTTTACAAATTAGGATTAAAGGTAAGAAGATTTAAGTCAAAGAATAAGAACTTAGAATTAACAAAATAGAAGAAAAAGTATTTTTTATATATCTTTTTATTTAGCAAAAATAGTAAAAATTTTTTTTTTTTGATGATCTCTTATACCAACTTTTTTTCAAAAGTCTGACCTATGAAAACTATATAGTTATTATATTTAAATATAACAAAACTCTATTTTGGATAACTAAAGAGGCTATTTACTGTATGTTTGGTTGTAACTGAAAAGAGTTAAAAAAGATTTGAACTCTTGTAAGTGAAGTTTCTTAGAAAACATGAATACTATCAAGCAAAGAAGTAGTAGATAAGTTCTGGAGCTTTGTCAAGTGCTATAAGAGCTTAGGCCTAAATAGTTACTTGGATTAATATAATATTCTATATAATATAATTCTTACAACTCTTTTTCAAGTTAGCTTTTCTTACTGTCTTCACTACTAGATTTTTCTTTCAGAATTTTTACCAAAAAGTGGGAAATCTGGAATACTTCTTCGATAACATTAGTTATAAGAAAATTATAAAACAAGTATCGGACCTATGATGGATGACATATGTCAAACTCAAGAGAAAAATAAAATTTCGACTATTCTTCCTACATGATAAATGAAATATATTATAATACAGAGATAAAGCAAATGTGGAGTATTCTTTATTTAGTATTATATAGAATTTTTAAAGCCTAACATAGTCAAAAATAGTGTCTTTATGTTTTTTGTTTTTTCTTTATTCTTCCTTTTTATCTTTTTGTTTTTTTCTTTTAGTTTATGTTTAGGTTTTGTAATTAGTCCTCTCTTTTTTTTACTTTCTTTTAGTTTTTTTTTCTTATATCCTGTTGTTTTTTAGACAAAGATTATAGAATCCTCTTATTTAATAATTAAAGGAGAGAAAAAAACAAATTGAAGATGAAATTAGAAAGATAATTTTGGAACTTGTTGTGAAATGAGGAAGATCCTTTTATTATGGACTTTAAGTAGTCAGATGAGTGGTTTATTCTGCTTGAAGTAATGTGACAGATTACACTTAGGTGCCATTAGAGTGACTGGGTAATGCTAGACTTAGTTGTTAAGTAGATCTATATAATTGTAGCAATTGCAAGAATTTTAATAAAGTACTAACATGACTGTCTATATTAAAAAAAAAAAAAAAAATTTTTTTTTTTTTGTTAAAGATTATACTTGTGGTAATACTTTATTGACTTTATATCAAGTTAGCTATTACAACTATTTTTACAGAGATGTGAGTACAGCTAGTCACATATGCAAGCTTTGGTTGCCTATTTAAGTAGCCCACCCTAAGGTTCTATACTAGATACCATGCCTATAATCTACTAGAAGATTATCTATTTAAACTCTCTGATCATCTGCCTTATTATATTGGAATCCCCAACTAACTTCTCATATATACCTAACTAGTATACCATCTGAGCAGTATGGTACCTATCCTTTTTGTACTGGTTTTCAGACCATTACACATTTCAGAGTATGTTACCTGCCAGTAAGATGCAGAGAGCCCTTTGTTGTTAACTATTTATCTACTTTTAGAACACTAACATAGGCTATCCTTGTAAAGTTTATTCAGACCTCAGTACTGACTTCACAGCATATTCCTAATACTTTTAGTATACCCTTGCTTTGAATCCAGACTCCTAATCCAGATAGCCTAAAAGGACTGTGACCTGTCCTTGGTATATTGAGGCTAGCCCAATATTCTTTTTCTTTCAGTCTAAAATTCAGTGGTCTGGTTGGTGATACACCTTATCTGAGATTCTTGTCTGCCCAAATTCTTCATATTAGTATCCATTTTCTAGATCTAGACTTTACAGTAGTATCATCAAAGATCCGTATTATCTTTCTGCTCAGAATTTCTAAGTGGGCTCTGGCTTCTTAGTTCTACAGATTTACACAGCCTAAAAACTTATTTTAGGTTTGCACCACCTGGTACTGGTTTGCATTCCTCCATGTAACAGATTATACAAATGCTTCAAACCTGCCAGTCATGCTGGTGTAACCATAATTACAGGTATCCTATCCCAACTGATTTACAGAATGTTGTCATCATAATACTGTCTATATATTACATAGGTAATTATCCAAATTTCACTATCAGTAGGTTTTGAACTCACAATCTATTACTTGGGAGTATAACAACTTATCTACTTTACTAAGTCACCACATCCATTAGTAAGAATTTAAACAATATTATTTGATATTATACTTTGAATAGTAGAGAGTTTGAACAATATTAGGTATTATTGTGCTTAAAGTAATAGGGATTGTATAAAGACAATTAAAAATATTATTTATATTATTTATTATTTGTATTTGAAATATTTAGAATTTGTGTTTAGACACTTGAATCTATATAAAGACATTTGGAATTTGTGTAAAGATACTTGAAGTTTGTGTAAAAACCTTGATTTTTGTATTGTAATACTTGATGTAGTAATTTAATACTAAAATACACAAAACTTATACAAAAATATTTGAGATTTGTAAGATAATAATAATATTATAGATATTACTCAATATTATATAGTTATATTATATTTTTAATAATCAATTAAAATTTTTTTATCTATTTATTATATAATATAACTATCAACTAATTAATAACTAATAATTAATAACTAATAATAAATATAATATATTGTAATAGAATTTATTTTTTTTCCTATATTAGTATATATTTATTTTTAGCTCTATATTATATTTTATAATTTT